ATACTTACATCTGTATGTATTTTATATTTGTATGTATATATGTGCTTGTAAATAAATATAGTATTATATGTATTTGTACTTCCATAGCTATAAATATACTTATATTGTTGCTTGGTGTCACCGTATTAATACTTAAATTATGTTTTTATTCACTGTATTTTACTAATTTGTGTTTTGGTGCTATCTAACAAATTTTAAGTGTTGCGTTTTGCTATAATATTAACATTTTGTTCCTATATCAATTTGATTTATACCTGCATTACCTAAATATGTATGTCTTTGGCGATTGCTAAGTTATTGGTACCGACAGCCAAGCTTTTCGAATTGTCCATAACGACTCCTAACATTCCTATTGCGGCAATCGGATAAATTTGTCAATATAGGATGCTTGTATTAACCGATAACTCTTTACATGGGCTACTAGAATACAATGAGTCATCCTCTCTCTCGCAGGTACAAGAACGGTTACTATATCCGGCAATTATACTTTTTGAAACTAAACTGCAAACTCGCAAATCTAGATACTCTTGCAAGGCCAAGTACATGTATCTTCATAAAAGTTCAAGTTTATAAAAAAGAATGTATCTAGCCAGTTTTAGATGCCTATTTTTTAACTTTACTGGTATTGGCGGTTCAAATCCTGTCTCTTCATTTAGATTCTCTCTGTCTTAGCTGCTTTGACAGGTGTCTTTTCTTCCCCTTGTCAAAACTTGTAAACAACCTAGCTTGCATATTTTTGTCTAACGTTCTGTGTTTAGATTTTTACTACTTAGCATGAGCGCAGATTGACCGACCAGTGCAGGATATTGCCCACTTGTTGAGGTCCTTCTTAAGATTTCAAGGTGTCCGACAAGGTTGCCTTGTTTGAATTTAATTTTCCTATGTAGCATGAGCGCTTGCGTTGCTGCTTCCTTTGTATTGCCGCACGAAGAGGTTTACGATTGAGTGGGGTTCCATACCTGCAGTGGGTGTTGTTTTCCTTCCCCTTTGTTTCTCTCAAGTGTTTTGTTTTGCTTAGGTCTTAAAAGTACCCACGACCGTTAGGCTAATATTAACGCAGCAACCAGATAAATCCCCCCTTACTCGAAATTTTTTTGGGTATTCGACAAACACCTACAGTACTTGAAGAGACGACACGATATTGGTTAGACTTTTGAAAGAAAAATACACTCTTGCATGCTTTTCCGCATTTTTTTAATTTCAATAGCAGACATACACATATATGTATGTATGTATATTTTTCTCTTTCCTATCACTTTGCTGAAGAACTGGTTTATACATCTTTTCTGCTAATTCAATAAGAATTGTTAACAATACTTTTTAAATTCATTGTATAAAAAAAGAAAAAACTTGCCTCTTAAACAATTTCAATTCGTAGATAACCTCAATACTCCATGCTCTCCTAAATGTTTCTTAAACTCTTGTAAATGCCGTTAACAGTGCACCTAGCCGTGCAATGGTGTTTTATTTATTTTATCACCGCTTGCTATTGTTAAAGGCTTCACTTATTAGATATGTACATCTGTATACATATGTATGTATTTATTAAAAACATTTACTTTTCGTTTATTCGCTTAAAATTGGGTGTCATAAAAAATTTTAACTGGTAATTTGTTACTTTCTCGCTGCAAAATTAATATTTATTACATTAAAAAAAGGATTAAGTTAAAATATCAACCCAATTAAGACGTAAAACCGATATTAAAAAATTTTTCTTTAAACGTAAAACGTTTTCAAAAAGTTCAAATGCCGAGGTAAGTACAAAAAAAAAACAGCTGGAAGGCCGTAGCTGCTCTGAGACCATATGACTAAACGGAACAAATTGCTATTCCAAGTTTAGGATTTTTGCGAATTAAATTTCATTTTAGAACTCAAAAAATACAAATTTTTAACTCGCTAGTTATAAGCTGTACAAATGTACGAAAATAAAAGTTTGCTAATTACCCTACTGATGCTACTAATACAGGAACTACGCTCCGTACAAATTGAGGATGATGAAATGGAAATGTCCGATGATGATCGCAACTACCAGGGTAGCAGCGCCAAGCGTACGCGTTACGATGCTGAGAGTTTGAAGGTGAGGAGGAAAGAGTGTAGCTCTCCGCACTTTGGCGCCTTTGTGCATAGCTGCAAAATCCCAAGATCGACCTAATTCCTCTACTATAAATTAAATTTCTTAATACAACTATCTGGGCTTCGTATTCCCTTTTCAGGAGGAGAACGACTCATTACGCTGTCAGTTGGAAGCTTTACGCAGTGAAATGTCACACGTACGCACTGATATCAAATACGATAATGATTATCGTGATAAGCAGATCAAAGTGCTGCAGGAAACCATACGCAATATGCAGACACAACTGTTGCAAACGAAAATGCGGGAGCAAAAAGATACCAAAACAATCGTTCAGTTGGAGCGTAAACTCAAGGAGGCTGGCGTAAAGCAGCTGCTGTTAAAAACTCGCATCAAAGAAACTGCCAACAAGCGCAGAGATCGAGAAACAGCGTCAGTTAACTCTGAAGCAAGCGAAATAATAACTAACGAAGCAGCGGATGCTGATGACGAAGACGATGATGATGATGATGATGATGATGTGGAAGAGGTGGAAATAAGTGAAGAAATGTCAAACAAGTCAAAGCACACCGACAAGGAGCGCCGCGAGAATGCAAATGGTGTGCACAAAAGTTCAAGAAATTCAACGCAACCGGAGTCAAAACACATACAAGTGATCGATATTGATGATGAAGTGAATATTATTGAAGATCAGAATGATGTTGTGGAGATACATGAAACTGATGAGGATGAGAAAACTGCCGAAGGTAACGAGTGGAATGACATAGATGAGAGGCAAGCGCAGAAAAGTAATAGCACGCAGAACGTTCAAGCGGATAAAATTGAGGAGAATGAAGAGCTGCAGCAATGTGCTAAAAGTGATGGTGATACCAATAATTTGGAAATTGGTGAAGAGAAAGAGAGCACAGTGCCAGTAGAAACAAAATTAATGGAGGATTCTAAAGAAATTGAGGTATTTGAGTGTGAGAATTTGTAATTACAGTAATTTGTCATCGTGGTTGTACGAAAGCAGTTGAAAAATGTTTTTTTTTTTAAATTTAATACAAAATCTGACATAAGGGATAAAATCATTTTTCACTTAAATTGCTGGTGAAAAGGGTAGTAAAGTCGGTAAAATTGGATATTTAATTTTTGGAAATTTTTAAAAACTGTAAAATCGGAGAACCTTTAAAAAAATTTACAACACTTTCGAAATGTTTTCCAGTTTTCAACTTAATCAAATTCGAATAACGTTATTTTGGTAAAAAACTCGTTTAAAAAAATTTAAGATCTCTTTTTTGAATTTCCCCGGGATATATGTATTTCGTTTAATTCTTCCAGATGTTTCATAAAAACTCAGTCGAATCGTTTCATAAGCAAAACGAATGTATCCTTCAAATTTTGCCTTTATTTTTTTTTTAAATTACCCAATTCATTTTTTTTTATAAATTCAAACAAAACACACAACAATACATAAATGATCAGGATGAAAAGAGAAATCGATTAAGCGGTGACTGTTTGTCCGTCCGTCCGTCTGTGCACACGATAACTCGAGTAAAAATTGAGATATCTTAACGAAACTTGGTATGTGCACTTCTTTCGGGCGGAGGACGGATGGTATTGAAAATGGGCAAAATCGGACAATAACCACGCCTACCTCCCATATAACGGTAATTTTCAGAAATACGAAAACTGCGATATTTTAGTAACTACTGAAGATTATTCACTCAAAATTGATATTTACAATAAGTTTTAGACGAAAAATAAGAATATTATAAATTTTTGGAAAATGGGCGTAGCCACGCCCACTTATGGTTACATGTGTATATCTTGGTAACCGCTGCACCAAACTTCTTCCAAACTTGGCACAGTTGTTGGCCTTGCTACAGCATACCAAATGGCCAAAAATTTAAAAAATCGGACAGTAACCACGCCCACATCCCATATAACGGTAATTTAGAGAAATACAAAATCTTCGATAAATCAGTAAATATTAAAGCTAATTTATTCAAAATTGATGCTTGCAACAATTCTTTACCAAGAAATACGTTTATGATAAAATTTTGAAAAATGGGCGTGGCACCGCCTACTTGTGATCACATATATGTATCTCGGTAACCGTTCTACCAATTTGTACCAAACTCGGTGTGGTTAACGTTGAAAATTATTGAACTCGAACTAAAATTACGACCGCTTTTCATATAACAGTGAATTTCAGAAATGCTTGAAACTTCAATATTTCGAAATTTAAGGACGCTAATTTACTCAAAATGGATACACCCCGGTTTACCATGTAGCGGTAGGTTTCGGAAAGGTGAAAAACATATATTTAATACTTGCGCCGGGTATTTAATGTTCGGCTCAGCCCGAACTTAGACTTTCTTACTTGTTTCAAAATAAATTATTTCATACTTTATCACCAAGCTTCTAAAGACTGGTTTTCACTATGTCATATTTTGACACAATTTTATCTGCTTTATCTATACCTTTACCGATAATATTATTGGCCACATACTGACAGATAGCCGATTTAGCAGCGCACGTACCCGACTAAAGACCTATTCTGATCGAAATCAATGGATAAACCGCGTTTTAAACCCATTTGACAATGTGTTTTCTCTTATTTGACGACAAATGCCACTAAATTTGACATAGTGAAAACCAGCCTTAAGAAATAAAACTGTTTTAAGAGAAATATTATATTTTCTACCAATAGTTTCCTCCAAAATTCCTTTGACATACGATTTTTTTTCCACATACTTTAAAAAAAAAACTAAAATATATTTTGTGTGGAAATAATCTCCTCGAAAAAAATTTCGCCTTTTTTGATCTTGATTTTCGTATCACCACCAATTACAAAAAAAATCCCAATATAAAAATTGTGTTTTGTTATATTTAGCTAACAGTTGCTAGCAAATAAAAAATTAAATTTTACATTCTGGTTGAATTGAAAAATTTCCCGGTATTTTTATTTAAAATATACTTTCTTTGAGGAAAGGGCCGACATTCTTTATTTTTATACTAATACCCAAAATTTAGTTCCTAATAATTCCTACTTTATAAAAAAAAGTTAGACTAATGCGAGAATTTTCCCAATATTTTTATTAATAGAATTTAAAAAAAATATCGAAATCCAATTACCTAGAAACTTTACTCCTATAGAATCCCCTATGTTATTTTCCCACCAATTCCATAAATTTCCCGATAATATCTATTGAAAAAAGTCTTTAAAAAATTTCGAAATCCTTTTTCTCTCTTTTATGTATCCACAAATTCTAATATGTACTAAAAATTTCCCCATACACATTTATATAAAATATAATAATTTCAAAACAAATATTAAAATTTTGTGTTATTTTATATTCTTATTTGTTCAAAGATTTTCCCACTAAGTGCAAAAATTTCCCAATAAGTATGTATGTATTATTCAAAAATTCATTGAAAAAATGTACTTATCTAACCCACTTAGAAAAAAATGATTATTTGAAAAAATGTTTTCCTTTTTTTACTTTCTTTTTCATCTTTTTCTAACTGACGTGCTATAAATAAAATTTTAATTTCCCCACTAATTTCGAAAATTCCCCACTACATATTTTTATAAAAACATTTTATTGAAAACAAATATATATTAAAATTTCTTTTATGTTTTTAACTAACCAAAACACTAATTGAAAACCAAATTTTATATCCTGACTTGTTAAAAACACTCAATATTTTTTTTATACACAAATTTGTTAAAAATCTTAAATTTTGTATTCCCTTTTAATTAGAAAAATATCCCAAGATCTTTATTAAAAAAATATCCCAGTAGTTTGATTAAAAAAATCATCGAAAAAGCGTCGAAATCGTCCTTTCACTTTCACAGTATATTTTTTTATTCTGACAAACTCGAAAAATCTCCTAATATTTTTGTTAAGAAAATTTCGTTTAAGAAAGTCGAAACCGAGCACTAATAGAAAATCCATTTTATATTCCCTCTGGTTCCAATCCATATTACCATATATTTTCCGCTATTTTCAAACAAAAAAAATTTCTGATAAAATTTCGAATACATTTTAATAAATTAATTCACAGGAATGAAATTTTTTTTTTGTTTCTTGTTTTTGAAAATTCGGTCAAAGTCTATACCTACCGTACATAGACTATTCTTAAAAAAAATTACGCTAACTTATGTTTCATACCCCTACTCCTACTATTCCAACTTCTCATATAAAAATCATCTGCTTTCGGAAAAAGCTCCTTTACATAATCATAAGGCCCTTATTTTTTCCTGTTCTAAAAAAAAAAAGTATAACCTCTTGCTTATATTTATTAATTACGCAGCCTAAATACTTGCCATTTGTGGAAGCCCAAATTATTGCCCTAATCGCTGCCTACTTGATAGTGCATCCCTTTGGCGTCAGCACCGAGTCAATTTGTGTCTACCTACGACAATCTATGAAAACGCTAGACCTACAGGTCCTAACTTTAGAACAAATACTCACAACCTATACGAATCTCTTCAAAATGGAATGTCAGACAGCAGGTGGAGGGGATGACGAAACTAAAGTGCAATGGAAGTTTTGTGGATTTACAGAAGCTAACGATGTATTTAAGGAGGAAAACGAAACAGCCAACGCAAAAAATGGGGATTAGAGAAAATAGAAATGGCAAATTCTAACGTAAGAATCTTGGACTCCCTACTGGCTAATTAAATAACTTGATAAGCATTTTTTTATTGCAAATGTATGTACATATACATATTACATAAATAACAATTATTCACAAATGCAACATCGATTTTAATTCATAGATTTTAATACATAATTCAATGTTAATTGGAGCTGATTGAATGAGTTTTAATTACATTAAAAAAATGAATCTTAAAAATGTACTCTCAAAAAAAAATTTTGTTTATTATTAGTTTTTATTTGATTGTAGTTATTGAAAATGCAATAAAAGGTATACAAACTAATCTCAATATTGTTTATGTAGTAATGGTGGGCGTTTGTAATAAATTGTATTCGTAAAAGTAGAAATGCAGCACCTACATTTGCGTGTGTTATGGCCCTTATTCAATGGAGTTTTCTGGAAAACCTTTACCATTCCTATCTTCAAATTAAAGTTTTTTGGAACACAATATTTTCGCCTTCAGCCGCGATGTAATCGTTCAACTCCTCTTGCCTTATGCTCAAAGAGAATATGGTTTCACTTTGTTGAACCTCTCTACAAGACAGTTAACGAAAAGGGGACGGTGGTGTCATTTGGACTATTTTCGTATTTTACGAGTATTTTTACGATTTCCTGACTTCATCTACCTCTTTAGGTATCGGTCATTTATCTTTCCAGACAGTTTGGAATTGAAAAGGATAGGATTTGTTTATCTAATCAAGCTTGCTGTTGTAGTTGTAGCGGCCCTGCCTCAGTCGGATTGTTCTTCAATAGTTGTCTTCAAGCTCAACTAACGGTTGGCCCAGGAAAAGTGATGTTTCGAGGACCATAGAGAGAGGGCTGTTAGTTGAGATGGATTGAGTGGGCATGTGAAGTAGTGGTTGGTGTCGTGGGTGGAGTCTTCACGTAGTAACGATAGTAATTTCCTAGGATCCACATATTTCAATGACTAGGCGCGGGCGACAGGTCCACGATAGCTATTTTAGCGGGCTGATCAGGAGGCGCACAAACTGACCGGAAACAGTACAGCACTTGCTTTCATCAGTGATGATGTCGAGGTGGCCATGAGAAAGGCGTAAGTCTCTAAAGCCATTGGTCCCGACGGAATTTGCATGCTGATGCTGAAACATTTGGGACCCGGGAGTGTACCATATCTCACCAAGGTTCTCAACTTGTCAATGGCCACTCGCTGATAACAGGGAAGCTAGCCAAGAAAAGAGAATCTTATCGCCCGATAACACTTCCTTCTCCAGTCGCGAAGACACTTGAGGACCCCAGAGGAGCATCAGCATGGTTTCCGTAAAGTGCACAGCACAACAACAGCACTTAACGACATAAACACAGACAGAGCACAGTCCAGTAGCGTGGACTTGTAAAAGGTGTTTGACCCCAAACTTTGTCGTGTCTTCACTGCAAGGAGTCTAACCGACTCCCCAACGAAATGAACGGTGATGCTTCCCGACAGCACCTGGGGCAAAGACAAAGAAACGTTGCTGGCAACATACAAGGCAATTGGCCGGCCGTTCCGGAACTACGCTGGGCATGTTTGGTCGCTGTGGACTATTTGGACGCAGTGGACGAAGCTACAGACTTGTCGGAAGGTCACACTCCTCACAGCGACGGGATGCCTCCTAATGTCGCCTGAACTCAATCTACATAGTGAGGCCCTCCGCTCAGGCATATTAGGAGGCATCTCTGGGGGTACCTGGACGCGGTCTAGACATACATCCACCAACGGGTCTACGTAACCGGAACGACCCAGATTTATATTTGGCCAAGGACTGTCACTTCAGCAACACTCCCCAAAAACTCTTGGGAACTTGTATGCTGCTACAACAACAACAACACTGCCGGCATATGAATGCGGTGTTCGAAGATCAATCACCACCTGTCCTTGATTTGGAGCTTCAACTACCTCGAAAGATCCGTGCTAATCTGACCCAGTTACGGTCCGGATATTGTAGACGTCGCAACAGGTACTGAAAGTCGGAGGAGTATCTATGTATATAAAATAGAATAGAGTAAGCTTTGCGACCAGTAGGTCTATTGGGCCCTCCGCTTATCACATCACTGCATCTAGCCCCAAAGACTCCTTAAATTTTAGAAGAGATACCGGGGGTAGGGGTGAATGTGATCTTCTCTTGGCCATATACATATATGTATGTCAAAATGATGTGTTTGTTGTCATATGAATCAACACCACCTTGTATAAATTCGCCTTGTTGTCTGCAGACCCGTCTGCTCTATGAGAGCAAGCAATTAAATAGCCTTTCAGAGATTGAAGGCAACAAGAGTTTCGTCCACCTGCAGCCACCGGATGCCTCTTCATTGCTGAGGGAAGTATTCACCTTGCATTGCTTAACTGGTTTTGAAGTACTTAGTCAGAGGGCTGGCCAAAGCTTTAAGTGCAGCTTGGCTGTCACTGCAGGCACGTCAACTCCTTCCCCTCCATCTATTTTCCACCACGTAGTCGAAGGCCTTAAGTATTGCAAATACCTCAGCTTGGAAGACCGAAGCATATTCCTCAAGAGAAAAGTGAAGCCTATATATATTAAGTTCGAAAAAGACCCCAGATCCGGACCCGGAGTCAGTTTTTGAGCCATCAGTGAAGATTCGATAGAGAACCATTGCTCCTAAAAAATTGTGGGCATTAAAAATTAGAATCTTAGAACTTGAAAGGCTTTAAAGTCTCAATACGAACATTTTATACCGAAATACGGCCTGTTAAAAATCATCGAAAAATTTGGAATTTTTTTTTCTCTCGTATTTTTTTGGAGTAGTGTATAATCGGCCTACATTGATAGATAAAGCCAAGCAACAATTCGCACACCGTCTTCAAAAGAGTCACAACTCAAAATAATACGTTTATCAGAAAATGCGAAAAACTATTTCTTAGCACATGATAATCATATGGGCAAGGGCGACTTTACCATAGGTTTTCTTTAACAAATTATAACAAAATGAAAGGTAAATAAAAGCTCTGTGTACATTTTTAGCGCATAATTTAAAAAATGTCAAATTTTTAGTTGTGTCTCTTTTGAAGGCGGTGTGCGCATTTTTGTTCTTTTCTACCGAAACTAGATAAATTTTCGTGGACCCACACTTGCCACTCGTGAACCCCGATATTTTTTTCACGCCACCGTAGACTCTCGTCGAGTCTTCCGTGGACCCCTGGGGGTCTTACTGTTGTACATTGATGTATACTGACAAATATCGCCCGCGAGAAGTGGAGCAAAATGGCGCAAAAACGCGTTAATTGAATCCTAGACAGCGACTAGAAAGCCCAACAACCAACCAACCAAGGATACCCATTTAGAGAACGGATATATCGTCGGTGATACTGCAAAACGTGCTATGTCACTTCTAACCTCTGGTGCTTAATTGATCTGTTATCTGGATCTGATCGCTTCTGGCAATCGTTCATCTTCATCAACGAAAGGTAGAGAGTTTTATCATTCGTTTATTAAGGTATTACGACTTGCAGATGCATTCCGGTGCAAGTAAGAGACCATCGTAAGTGTCAAGGGTAACTAATAGACATAGACCGTTTTGCAATATCGCATATTTGCATATTGTTAGCGGTTAATATATATATCCGTCTGAGTCCGTTATGTATATAGCTTTCTAAATTTGCAGGGGCTTTCTTAGTGTACATATTTATAATACACAAAGAATTACTACTTTTTGCGAAATCAACAAATTTCATCAGCTTACGCAATTTTTATCCTTTCGTTAAATGAATAAGTATATACGAGAGTATACTAGTAAAGCAATTTCATTGAGAAAACACGAAATTTAAACGTTAAATGCAGCAATAACTACGCAATGATTCGCTTTCACCTTCAGCAAGGACAACACGATACATACATATGTATGTGTGTAAATACTCAAAGGACACAGAACGCAGCATCAGAATATCCTTGTATGTATGTAGACTAGCCACAGAGAGAGAGAGGTGGTTGCAATCCTTTACACACACACGTCTGTATAATTTCGTGTTGGACCTCATATTAAAACCTGTTTCATAAATGTGCATAGTTGTTTGTATGAGGTTAGACATTTTCACTACGTCGGCGACCGGCGACCGAAGGCAATTGACCCCCTATTTGTTGGCTAAACTCCCAAATTGATGACGTTGTAGCTGATGTCTATGGAATGGACGGTGCAGTGGACCGTTAGATTTTCGTAAGAAAGACAAAGTCGTTGAGTTTTGCTTTTTTTCGTCTTTAAGCTGCATATGACAGCTGCCACAGTGTAATCAAGTTATATTATTTTTAACCTAAAATAGAAACATTCAAATAGCGGAAAATAAATTTAAGCCGCCTAATGGCTTTGCTACTTAATTGTTTCGACTCACAGATAAGGGGATATTCTAATTAACAGTCATCAAGTGTTTTTCCTGCAACCATTAATAACTATTGTGTTCGTCCTTGACACATCCTTAATATGTATTGCGTGTCTCTGGTTGCTTTTGTTGTATTATCTTATCAATTCCTCAAAGATTTCATATGGAATGCTGCTTTCAGCTCTCAACATATCCTTCGAAGCTTCAGGGCTTTTCAATTGCCGTTTGAAAAACCACCCGACATGTTTTAAGTAAAACTTTTTTTTTACCAAGTAACTGTTTTTTAAGTTTAAATTTTTTGATCTGAAATAAAACTCATTTCTTGATCATTATTTTATCCAAGGCGAATTTATATAAGGTGGTGTTACTAGCTCAGCTGATTTTGTGTATGTGTTTCGCCGCACGGCTTCCGATATCAAATTGAAAAAGTTTGTTTGAATTTCTACACATACTCTTACAGATTTTGACAGTTTATGCCGCCAAAGCAAAAACAAAATACATGTAAGTTTTTGTTTTTGTACTCCTGCTATCACCTTATAATAATTCGCCTTGATTTTATCTCTCAGAAATGAAAATTATACATAAATATGTAAAATAGGGTAATTCAAAAATACATGCGAGAATAAAAATTTAAAAGTTTAAGATGTTTTTTGTTAAAAAAATGATACTTAGAACTGCCCAAAGCCCTTGAAGTTTTTCATGCATTTTATACGGGGCAGAAAGCTTCTTCGTAGAAATGGTATAGAATTATTGAAAATCGATATTTTTCGATCGGAAAGCTCTGTTTCCCTTAGGAAGCTTTCAATAATAACACCCAACATTTTATTTTACCATTTTTTAATACTATTTTTTATAGGTCCGAAAAAATGCAATAGA